CCCCCCCCGGGCGATCTGACCCATCCAGAGAGTTTACTGTTGCCGCCTCTGATCTGAGTTTAAAACTGATGAAAGATGTAAATTCATGTCGTTTCTCCTCTCGTCTCCGCAGCTGGCCCTGCCTTCACCAAGTAAGTACTCGCCTTTTGTATCTGTATACAAGTACACAAACGGGGTCAGTACTGTGATTAGAAATAGAACTTGAAATTTGTTGTTTTCTTACTTTAGCCGAGCCAGTATCTTAAAAAATAAACATTTTCCAAGTTATCGCTATTTTCTGATTGTTCAAGGAAAAATGAATAAAACTTTAGCAGATGATTAAAATAACCGTTGCAGATTAACCCAAGTGCAACCAAGACCACTCTGCACTTGTTAGAGATTAATGTTTGTACAGAATAACAGAGTAGATTTATGTACTTTTGATACATTCTGAGTTATTTCACACGGTTTTATTTAACATGAGCAACGTTGTGCAGCACTTTTCTTGCTTGTTCAGTTGTTGTTGTCTCTGAATCTGTTGAGTCTGGTTCCTGTGTTTTTTACTTTTTATTTTCCTAGTTTGAGAATGTACCTGGTTGTTTTTCGTGGTTTACCAGGGGTTCCCAACTCTGGTCCTTGAGGAACACCATCCTGCATATTTAGTTGTTTTCTGTTAAGAGACACCTGTTTTTTTAATATATATAAATGGGGGATTACCCGGCTTCTGCAAAATAAGAGGAAGTAATTAAACCACTGAATCAGGTGTGTTGGAGCAGGGAAACGACTAAAACATGCAGGATGGTGTTCCTCAAGGAGCAGGGTTGGGAACCACTGGTTTAGACTATCTAATTTTTACCTTGTCAGTGGTTGGAGACGCGGCCCAGCAGGCAGCAGTGCCCCGTGTGTAAAGCGGGCATCAGCAGAGAGAAGGTCATCCCGCTCTACGGCCGGGGGAGCTCCAGCCAGGAGGACCCCAGGTACGCCGGACCTTCTGTGTTCGGTTCTGTTCTGGTGTTGGTTCTGCCGTGTGACGGCCTGCTTCTGTCGTTCAGGTTGAAAACTCCACCTCGACCTCAGGGACAGAGAACGGAGCCGGAGAGCAGAGGAGGGGTGAGTCTGCGTTTCCTCTCCAGATGTTGTTTCAATTTGAAAACTTCTCTGACGGGTTTCCTCCTCGCGCTCAGATGTTCCCGGGCTTTGGAGAAACCGGCTTCCACATGTCTTTTGGCATCGGAGCGTTCCCCTTCGGCTTTTTCACCACCGTCTTCAACACCAACGACCCGTTCCACAGACCCGGTAAGGTAGATCACAGATTGCAGCTTTTAACTGCTTTTAAATATTTAAGCACCGGAGAGCGACGCAAAACAAGCAGAATTTGATTGACAGATAAATTTAGAGTTAAACCCAATTGTTTGGACTTTCATGTTAAATTTGTGTGAAGCTGCTTAGAAATGCAGGAACTGTTAGAAATGTTTAAGATTGGAGATGTTTAAAGACCGTAAGTCACTTTAACCTCAGCTCACGAACGATACGCTGGAATACACGCAATAATTATAATAATTAATTTATTTAATTTATCGTTGCATCTTTTTACACAAACGGCAGCTTCAACTGTTACAACCTTCAATACACTCAAATTATAAACTAATATCCCTTAGAAAATATTTCTATAAAGAACAGCTGATTTTAGAGGCGTTCGCAAAACTACAAACCATCTGCGCGGCTTGTTTTACAACATTCAGTATCTTTACAGTTTTCACATATTTAGACCAAAACATTTTAAATAAAGTTTGTTTTTATTTGTATCAGCCTGCAGGCGGGACGCTTTACATCAGAGATGTTTAGATAATTAAAAATCTGAAAATCACAGTGAGCTGCGGACGTTAGCGTTTGCTTCGGTTAGCCTGCAGCGTCAGATCAGGCCGCAATGCATTGTGGTCTATTTCCACAGACAACTTCTGTGCACTTTATCACACGGTGAGATTTAGGGCACTACGATATTTAGTGGACCAAAATAAAAGCAGGGAATTTTTCAAACGGCACAACAAAATAAACATTTCTGCACTGCCTACTTCTCCAAACTGAGGTGATTCAAATTTACAACAGGTTAGATATTTATTGTTTATAACCCTCCGTCAAAAGATCTGAACTATCACTTTTAAGTATAGATCAACAGAATATTTAGCGGTTAAACATTTAGTTTGATTAAAATCCCACTAAACGTTTCGCGTCTCTCATCAGATCAGTACGCAGCTGATCAACAAGGCAACGGCAACCTCAACAACGGCAACAACAACTGGCAGGACTCCCTCTTCCTCTTCGTGGCCATCATCTTCTTCTTCTGGCTGCTGAGCGTGTGAAGGCGGCGGGGAAGGCGGAGCTTCCAAAACAAAATGAAACTCGGGCCTCGGACTGCGTTACGTAACCTGGGAGAAAACAAGAAACGCAGGTTTCCTCCTCCCAAACATAAATCACTGCCTGACTCAAACGCACGCACACACCTGCTGTTAATTTTGTTTATGCAAAACACAGACTCCTAAAACAAATCACCTTCGCCCCTCCCTCCCCGGCCTCAGCTGTAGATTTTTGCACACAGAAGAGGTGAGCGTGCACGGAGGTTTGAGGGTCTCACTGTTGGTGTTCAGAGACAGTATTAAATGATCAGGGTGGCCGACGCAGTTTTACTTCGTATTTGTTTTCTTTTGACTTAACGCTGTAGTTGTAAAAAATGGGGAACTGTAGTTTATTTCCCTAAACCAAGAATTCATGACGGGGGGAAAAACCAGTTTGTAAAAACGTTTGTCTTAAACAGAAACCACCATCGCACTGTGAAGTCGTCTGCAGATGGAGCGGAGTCCATTTTAATTTTATTTTAAAAATCTCCATCGTTCAACAGAAAAACAACAGGTTTAAGAATAAAAGGCCCGGTTCGGTAGTTCTGTGTTTAAACTACAGTTTCCAGATTACTTTAAAAATTGAGAATTAGATTTAAAAAAAAAAAAGAGTCCTGAAGGAGCTACAATAAATCGTTTGCACGATTAACGGTAAAAAAAATGAACCCAAATGATTCTAAAACCCTTGAGTCTGTAGTTTTTCTGTCTGTTTGTTGTATATTTGTACATATAAATATTGTAAATGCTGTTTTTGTTTCTGACCGGCCAGTTAGGAGGATTTAATGATCTCAATCCTGGTTTTCTGAACTCGTGTGAATAAAGTCAAAATACTAAACACCATATCCTGTTCTCACCTCTCGGACCTCATTACCCATGATGCATCTGGACCACAGTGACTCCATGTGGGATGAGAACAGCTCCAGTCCTGCTGCGTTCAAAGAACCGGATGTTTTCTGCTGGGACCCGGCCGGAGGGGAACCCCGGGGCGGTCCGGGTCTGTTGAAGCTTCACTTTGTATTAAAGGAGGCTGAAGGGATTCTGAAGCTGCAGAAGTTTTCAGACTACACATGGAAAATGTGCAAACTCAAATGTTCTAAAAATAAAACCGTTAAAACACCGAGCAGGTGATAAGATGGCAGACTGTTTATTAAAAGAAATGTTTCTGAAATTGTATAACGTTTTAAGTATTAACCCATTCACTACTTTGTATCAGAGTACTCTAATTGAAGTACAGTCGTCCCACGATTATCGTAATATTATCGGCATGGTATCTGTATCACACAATATTAACGTTAAAGTTCAATATCGGACATTCCATCAAAATAACCCACCGATATAAAAAGCGCTGTTTTTGTATGATAACCCAGTGACGAGGAGGTCTGCTTGTGATGGCGTCACGAGGGAGAGGAAAATTCAAAATGTCGGTGTGGCAGCTTTTTTTCGTTGAGGACATCTGATTCTGGAGATTTTTGGACTAGGTTGAGCCTCGCTACATCGTCTCCAGTCGCAGATATTTTTCCAACGTAGCCTTACCTGAATTATATGCAATCATTTCCGACGTCATTGAGAAGCTAATAGTCGATAGCACTTGGGTGAGTTTTACCACAGACATTTGGACGCCGTGTTAGCCCCGTTAGCATGATTAGCATTACAGACAAAAACTTTGAACTTAAAGTCTGTCCTTCATGCACAAGAGTGCAGAGGATCCCACACTGCAGCTAGGAACCTGGAACAAGCCTCCACAAGTGAGAGCATCACAGGTGACTAATGCTAATCAAAAATATTAACACTTTTCATTTAGTACAAGTTAAAGTGCTGTTACTGAATATGTCACCAGCTCTTACACAATTTTTGTAACAAATGAGCTTAAAGGGCCATGTTCTGATGAAGGAAAGTATATCTTATCAGATATCATCCAAAAATCCAATATCGTGCATCCCTAATATATGTACATGTACTGCACAGTACTCTGAAATCTTATATATGTAC